CACATACCAACAAAGATGTTGTGTCCGCCGAGAACTAAAAAATAAATATTAAAAATTCTCTCTCTCTCTCTCTCTCTCCCCTCTCTCTCTCTCTCTTAAAAAAAAAAAAACTTCTCTATATCTACAAAAATTCTTGAGATTATCATAAAACTATAGATCAATTTGGAAGGACTTGGTATCTCTACTGTCTTATCTTCCATTTTAACATAAAGACCCCACACTTGTGGTTAATCAAAGAATCTGAAGCTAAAGAAGAAAACTGCAGGATCTAGATGATGTGGGGCTAAGTTCTCTTTCCAACCTTTGGTCCAGTAAGTCAGACCCCGCCCATGGCAACTAGAGAATAGTCTGGAGAGCACAAACAAGCCAACTCACTGCAGACTTAACAATTTACAAGAAGACAATGGGTTTAACAACTCAATTAGCATTTGAGTGATGGGGAAGCCAAAGCCCAATTGTTCAAGGTCCCCAGTGCAGGTCTAAGTCCTTTCCAAGGGAACTGTCCAGAAGCTAAACCAATCTTGAACAAAGGCCGGTCCTCACAGGCCTTGGGGAGCTGCGAACCCCAGTCCTCCCCGCCAGGGGGCGGTACGTCTCTGCTCTGGGTTTCGGCTAGAGGCCGAAAAGCTGGGGGAGCTAGCAGAGGTGTGGGTGAGCAGTTCTTAAGGCTGGGCGCAGAGCGTGTGGCCCCGCAGTCAGGAGAGAAAGATCGGTTCCGTGAGCTACAGGGGTGTTCCCGGGCTCTTTCCTCGAGCAAGGTGGGGACCCGGCCTTTACTAAATCCCCCTTCGATCCTTGGGCTACAGGGACCTTGGGTGAGAGGTCAGCTGTCTACATCTACCCACACCTCTGCTGACCTTCGCGATCACGTTCTTCTGAACTCGCCCGCTGTCTCAGAATCCCCAGCTCAGGCCCCTGGGATAGCTAACTGCTGCTCTCCCCCGACTTCTAGACCCCTTCCGCCGCAGGGAACCCGGGATTGACCGAAGGAGCCCCGCCCCGCACCTCCTGGCTCCTCCCTCTGCCGCCCGCCCCGCCCCCGGCGTACACGTGTAGATCCCGTCACGCCCGGAAGCCTCGCGGTGCTCAAACTCCTCGCGCACTCGCGCGAGCGCTCAGGAAAGGGGCGGGGAGAACGGAGGCCGGGAAGGCAATTCGCRGACGGCTGGGCGCAGGGGCGCAGTTTACTACCCTATTTTGGGCTGGGGTCTGGCGTGCGTGTTGCGCACCGCCTTCCTATCCTTTCCGCGACTGAAGGTCGCGGATCGCAGCCTCTATTTGGGTTGCTCCGCATACCCTTGAGTGGGCTGGCGGAGCGGGCCGCGCGCCCGGAAGGCACTGTGGAGCGCAGAGGGTAGGCGCGGTAGAGCTGSCGGAGGGGGCGGTGGAGGTGCGTGAGGTTGGGGAAGACTCGACGAACGAATAAGAACCGGAGATGGGTAGAGAGGCTGGAAGGGAAGAGGGGCGTCAACCGTGCCCCCTCCCGGGTACACTCTTTGTACGGGAAGCGGGATGGGAAAATACCCAGAGTAACTTGTGACTCTCCCATCTTGTCCCTTTCCCATGCCAGGGTGCACAGCATGGCTGAAAACCGAGAGCCCCGCGGGGCAGTCGACGCTGAGCTGGACCCGGTGGAGTACACCCTTCGGAAAAGGCTTCCCCACCGCCTGCCCCGGAGGCCCAATGACATTTATGTCAACATGAAGACTGACTTTAAGGCCCAGCTGGCCCGCTGCCAGAAGCTTCTGGACGGAGGGACACGGGGTCAGAATGCATGCACTGAGATCTACATTCACGGCTTGGGACTGGCCATCAACCGTGCCATCAACATTGCCCTGCAGCTGCAGGCAGGCAGCTTCGGGTCCTTGCAGGTGGCTGCCAATACCTCCACTGTGGAGCTTGTGGATGAACTGGAACCAGAAACTGACACCAGAGAGCCACTGACCCGAATCCGCAACAACTCGGCCATCCACATCCGAGTCTTCAGGGTCACGCCCAAGTAATCGAAATGAAGCTGCCCCCCCTTATTACCCCCCTTCCCCCACCACCTCAGGTAGGCCCGGATGTGGCTGTCTTGACTTGGCTCTTTCACTGATGACTGCCAGAACTTGAGAACAGACCTGTTAAGCCGGGGTGGTAGAACACTCATCCCAGAGACTGAGGCTGAGGCAGGAGGATTCAAAGTTCAAAGCCAGCCTCACCTACTTAGGCCCCGTCTCAAAAGAAAAAGGGCTGAGATGTGGCTCAGTGGTTAAGCACCCCTGGTTTCAGTCCCTGGTGCCAAAAGAAAGGCCTGTTCCCTCAGCTCAAGGACTCTGAATTGAGGGCAGGGAGGTGTATTGTCTCTTGTTGGGCCCCAACAGTGGATCTTTCTTGTCCTGTACAATAAAAACTACAAGTTGTGTTGGTGTCCTGCCACTCACTGCTACTGCTTCTTCCCTGTGCAATTCTGTGTGTCCCTGAATAGGGAGAGTAGTAAACTTTACAAGTTTTTTAGGTACAGGAGGGGAATCCAGATATTTCCTACAGAACACAGATTATGACATTGTAACCTAAACAAACTGTTTAKTGGGTACAGAAGCCCAATAATCTCGATGTCCGCCTTAACATTTTTCATGCCCTCAGAGGAAGACTGGATGGATAAAGGCCACGTGCCTGCCTATGCAGCTGGGCTTGTTGTATGCCTATAGATTTGCCAGACTCCTCCCTGGTAATGGTTCCCAGGCACAGGAAAGGTGATTTAAGTGTAACCGACGTGATTCTGCAATCTGCATTTGGGGTAAAATTGGGAGTTCATAACCCACTTCAATCTAATGTATGAAATATGATATGTCAATAGCTTTGTAATGTTGTGAACAACCAATTTAAAAAAATAAAAAAAAGAAAAAAAAAAGGAAAGGTGATTTAAGGATGATGGAAGCAGATGGAATCTCCTAATGTCAGTCTCTGTGGAAGGAATGGACAGTTTTGACTGATTTAATTCCTGGTTCTGCAGGGCCCAGGTAGCTTCTGGGCAACTGGAGTCCAGAGCCCTTGAAGCCTTTCTGGCTAGGCTGTTTGGTGAGAAAGATAAGTCTCCCCTGAATAATTACTGGGCACACAGGTAATACATGCTTTCTCATTTGGGTATTTATGGGATGACCTGATCTTTCAGGTTTATCAAACCTGAGTCATCTCAAGCAGTGTTTATCAAGGTGATGGTGACAGGTTTGTGGACCTTGAGATCAATACACTGGGTCACAGCCTTGTTTTTAAAAGGCAGCTAAGCTAAAAAAATACAATTTAGTTTTGGGGGTGGGTGGGTACTAGGGATTGAGTCCACGGACACTCTACTACTGAGCTACATCCCAGGAATGGACCCCAGGGGTGCTTAGCCACTGAGCCACATCCCTAGACCTTTTTATTTTGAGATAGGGTCTCACTAAATTGTTGAGGCTGACCTTGAACTTGCAATCCTCCTGTCTTAGCCTCCTGAGTTGCTGGGATTACAGGTGTGCACTCCCATTTATTTTTAATTTATTTATTTTTGGCTCTGGGGATTGAACTTGGGGGTATTCGACCACTGAGCCACATCCCTAGCTCTATTTTGTATTTTATTTAGAGACAAGGTGTCACTGAGTTGCTTGGTGCCTCACTTTTGCTGAGGCTGGCTTTGAACTCAACTCGAGATGCTCTTGCCTCAGCCTCCCAAGCTGCTGGAATTACAGGCGTGTGCCACGGCACCCAGCTCCCATTTATTTTTTTTTTTTATTTTTTATTTTTTTTAAAGAGAGAGTGAGAGAGGAGAGAGAGAGAGAAATTTTTTAATATTTATTTTTTAGTTCTCGGCGGACACAACATCTTTGTTGGTATATGGTGCTGGGGATCGAACCCGGGCCGCACGCATGCCAGGCGAGCACGCTACCGCTTGAGCCACATCCCCAGCCCCTCCCATTTATTTTTTTAAAATTAAAAAAAAAATTATTTCGAGACATGTTCTTGCTAAATTTCCAAGGCTATCTTCAAACTTGTAATCCTCCTGCCTTAGTCACCAGAGTAGCTGAGTTTATAGATGTGTGCCACTGTGCCTGCTGGTATTATTTTACTGAAGCTTTTTCAATCAGATATGTACATGTAGTTAGCCTTCTTTATCCACAAGCTCTGCATCTTTGGATTCAATTGAAAATATTAAAATAGTGTGTATTAAATATATAGACTGTCTATTCTTGTCATCATTTCCTGAATAATATATCAACTTTTTACACACATTTACATTGTCTTGGGAATTATAAGTCCTCTAAAGGTAATTTAAAATGTATATGAGGGCACAGTAGCACATACCTGTAATTTAGCAATTTGAGAGACTGATGCAGAAGGATTGCAAGCTCAAGGTCAGCCTCAGCAACTTAGGGAGACCTTGTCTCAAAAAGGGCTGGAAATGTAGCTCAGTGGTAAAGTGCCCCTGGGTTCAATCCCCAGTACCAAAATAAAATATACAAGAGGATGTGGACAAATTCTATGCAAATCCTGTGCCATTTTATATAAGAGGCTTAAATATCCTTGGATTTTGGTATTCTCAGTGGGGTCCTGGTACCAATCCCACTCAGACACCAAAAGATGATTGTATACACATGTGTACTAGTTAGGATATAAATTTTGGTATTGACTATTGTTTGAAGTCTTAAGAGTTTGAAAGCCTTGGAAGGTTAGTAACTGAATTTTATCATAGTTACTATGAAGGTAATTTGGTTTGAACCTGAAAGCTTTACAGGCTCCTAATTGAAATCTCTTCCCCTGGCTTGTGTATATGGCATGGCCCATACCTGTAAGGACTTCAGCACTTAATGGGGAAGTGGACACACATACATTTGTGAATGAGTAAGATGTGTAAGAAGTAATAGTTGCTATGGTAATAAAAGTGAAGACATGCTAAGGGCTGACTTCCTGGTGGGGTCCAAAGTGGCTTCACCTTTGACCTGGTATTGAAGGATAAATAGGAGTTTGACAGGCAGTAAAGAGGGAAGGGGCAATCTGGCAGAGAAATCAAGGGGGACTCATGAATAGGCAGGGCATGTTCTGGAACTAGAGGGACAAAAGGTGCCTAAGAAGCAGGAGGCACTGGGGAGATGAGGCTGCTGACATTTCTGTCATCCTCCTCCCTCCATCACCCTTGACTGCAAGGCTCCCTTACTCTGGAGCCCCCAGTAGTTCCAGTAGCATAGTAGGAAGCCTGCAAGGAACTGAATGGCCTGTGTGTCTCCCTGCACGTATGTGTTCTTGTCTGCGCTCCTGGCCTGGGCCCAGCTGAGGTGGTGGCAGGCAGCCGTTTTGCACTTGGTTTGTTTTGGCAGCTCCCACTCCTGGCCGATTTGTTGTTTCTCTTCCATGTTTCCCTACTGCTTGCCAGTGGGGCTTTCCTCAGTGGCCTCTGGGGAACCAGCCCATAGATGTTGCTACTGAAGCAAGAGGGACTGTTGGCTTTAGAAAGTGGGAGCAGGTAGTGGGTGTGAACCAGGCTCATGCATCTGTTGGGTCCATGCAGAGTGGGTGGAGCAAAGAATCCTTGTGTCTTTAGGGACCTCTGCAGAGAGGCCAGCCCCAAACTCTGTTCCCTCTACTGGCTCTCTGACCTCCACCTTAGCTTAGTCCCACAGAGGAGGTGAGAGGACACAAGTGTGTCAATCCTTTTTACTCAACCGGTGCAGACCCCACAATGAATGGGAAATGAACTCCCAATTCAGAAACAGATTCCAGGAGGTCAGATTCAAATCCAAATGCTTATCTTGGAGGAGGTGTAGACATTCGCATATCATCCATAGCATCTTTGAGCACCTGCTATTTGTGGGGATCTGTGCTGGGCTCCATGCCTTCCAGAAGAGGTATTAAATGTTGGTCCTGTAAAGTCCAGTGGGAAGCAAGACAGATTTAAAAAGACAAGTAATTTGCAAATTGCTTGGAACTGTCCTAGTAATAGTAAGGGCTCAGTCAACAGGGCTACTATGGAGTGGATTGAAGCCATCTGGCTAAAAAATGATTTTAGGCATCTTAGACTGGGGAGAAGGGAAGGGAAGTGATGTCTGGGCTATTAGTTTTGTCAGGCTTTTGATGGTGCCAGGCATAGAAAGGGAGAGGCCAGGCCCTTAGGACACAGGAACTGGTTTAGACTGGCTGATGACTTTCCTAAGAAGGCCCAGCACTTTGTCCCAAGTGTGTTCCTAGTGCTTGGTCAGAAGTCGGAGAACAATGTCATGTTCACAAACCCTTGAATCTCTGGAGGAGTCGGACAAGTATGTTCAAACGTAGTTCCTCAGGGCAAAGGGTGTCCAGTTACACAGAGATTTGGGGCAAGACCCAAGAAAAAAGAATGAAAATGGCCACTTACAACTCCATCTCTCTAATGGCATTATGGGTACTTTGTAGTTTGGGTTTCGGTTTAACTGTGTTTTCTTGTTGTTCAAAAATTACATATTGTTTTTATAATAAGAAAATGTTGGGGCTGAGGATGTGGCTCAAGTGGGGGCGCACTCGCCTAGCATGCATGGGGCACTGGGTTCAATTCTCAGCACCACGTAAAAATAAAATAAAGATATTGTGTCCACCTAAAACTAAAAAATAAATATTAAAAAAAAAGAAATTGTTGATTTTTGTACAAAGCCTGTTCGTGACTGGTCCCTTGTTCTCTAGGTAAGGTGATCAGGGAATTAATTACAAAACTGAGGGATAACCTCAAGAAATGCTTTTCTGGTGAATGAATGGTAGATGGATGCATGGATGGGTACACAGGGGATACCTGCTGCTTCACTGAAACAAGCCTCTAATTCTCTGAGATATCAGATGTCTTGTCACTGGAAATACACAAGCAGAGGGTGAACCTTCACCTTCCCAGGACCTCTTAGATCTCTTCCAACTCAGAGTCAGTGAGTCTTGTTTGTTGCAAGAAAAATACACTTTCCTGAAAGGACTAAAATTATTTGCTGGCTATGAACTAAGACACAAGCCAAAGAGCTATTTACATCAGATTAGGGGAATACTTGTGGGATCAAACATCAAGTTCTGATAGTTCATTAGTTCTTAATGAACCATGAACAATTTGGGAATATATTTGCTAAGTTTGGGTGTTGAAGCGTATGTCTAAGGTTGCTATAAGCTTCCTTGAAGTAGAGTGTGGACTACATTCCTATATAGGAACAAGAGCTCAGTGGAATTCATGCAAAATCCTCATGAAGTCACTAAGTTCTGTGTTAACAAAATGAAACTTGTCATTATAACCATACCTCTGGAAAGGTCTACATGGCAGGAAAAAATCCTTCCATTTAAATTGCAAGACACGTTTTTGGTTTTGTCTGTGCAGTTCTGGGGTGGAACTGAAGACCTCTTACATGCTAGGCAAGTACTCTACCACTGAGCTACACCCCCAGAGCATT